TGATACTTTGAATATTACATGTTAATAACTTGATTGGAATTATAACCTTGAGTTGACAGTTTGATACTTTGAAAATTTTGAGCCAGCCCTACCCCCAAGGGCTGTAGGGTGGGGCTCAAGGGAGTCAGTGTGCTAAAATTTCTTCATTTTCCTTGTTTAGAATCAGAGGTGCTAGTTTCAAATCCTTTTTAGTCTGAAGTCTGTATGCTAGATATTGAGTAAGGTGGTTTTATTGTTTTTTGTCACTTTGAATAATATTTCTGTTCATGTTAAAAACGAAATCAACTCTCTGTATAAATACATCAGGTGACCGTTAAGGCCCATGGGCCTCTTGTATTATAAAAGATCCTCAAAATATGGTTTCTTTTTCAGGAACGATTTATCGAAGCTTATATAATTGTCATATTAGAAAAATATCGTTTTAATGCATAGCTACAGTTTTTGGCAGTGGTGTTGAAATCTTGAATTGAAATTCAGCAAAAAGCAAACTTAGATGTAGAGATTTCTGCTGATTTCAAAAGTCAAAAAAGGAAAGTGAAAAATTGGAAGCCTCCCTTAAATAAACTGAGATATAGTGAGAATAGGTTTATTTGTTTTTCCTTATTATCTTTCTGATCATGTTTGCCCACGTCTCTTTTAAATGTCGCCTGCCGTTTTTTTTAAAGAGAAATCAGTAAATGTCAGATGTTAGGTCTATTCTTAGCAAGATTTTGTGATTCCATATGTAAGAAATCCAACTGAGATTACCTATACCATAGTATTTAATGACCTGGTTGACCTCTACTGTCCATCCCATAATACTTCATGTCCTAGAAGTCCTTGTTGCCCTCGATAAATCATCAGATACATCGAGGGCCGATTTGCCTGCTGTGTTTCATTTGGCGTATGTTATAAGGTTTTATTAGTGTCACTGAAGCCAATTAGAGCTGACGGAGAACCATCATTACCCTACCCTCACATAGACGGGCCCAAGAGATAGGCCCGAAGTATTCCGACTTATCTGGACCGAGATTCTGATGACTTCAATCAGAATAGCTTTATTTCCTGATATCCAAACAATTCCATTGTGTGCAAATCTCATGTTGCTATGGAGATCAGACATGTCTGATTTTTTCACATTTTTGAAACAAGATTATTCCTGACATTTTTCAATGAAAGCTGCAAAGACTGCCCAGGCTTTGTTCTCTGAAGACAGGAAAGATGAACTGGTTTTCAGCTCTCTTCCACATTACCAAACAGGGATATTTATGTAATATTATCATTATGATTATGATTAATTAGATGAAAGTTAATGCTAAGTATATTTGGGAGATGGGAGATAACTCTAACACAAATTATTTGTAGGGTGTGTAAGGTAGTATATATCCTTATAGACAGTTGATTATTCCTGTTCTAGTTTGTGGTCTGTAGTAGTATATAAATGATGTGAGTTACAGTGTATTAAAATATTTTAACTTACATGATATATAGATATGTATTGTAATATCAAATTACTTTTCTCTGCAAAAAATGCTTACATCCAAATCATTAAGACACATGTAAAGCATAATTATAATTTGAATGAAGATAATAAATTATAAGATGAAAAAACCAGAAAGATATTTGTGGGGATGATTTTATGTCAGGTATAGTGGATGTTGAGAGGGGGGGGGGGGGGGGGAATCAGATTAAAATATTTTGTGTTCAATTGAAATTACTTTGTTTTTTTATCCATTTTCATGAATGATTTTAAAAAGAAGTAGAATTTGCCATAACATAAGTTATTGTCATATAGAATAGAAATGATGTATCATCAAAAATTAATTTGAACTTACAGCAACCTTATTGATTCAAACACTTATATACATTTTTGCAAACAATAAGATCCATGTACAGATCGTACCAATGTCACTATCATTACAGAATGAAAAGTCTGGGCTCCACTGACAGAAGCATTGCTGTCTTTAACTAAATACACTTCCTCCAGCACTGCTATCCAATGGAAACCCTCGAGTTAATGTGTTTTCTATATTCAGGAATTGTTGGTGAAACTAAAACGAAGATATCTGAAAGACATATGCATGCAATCTTACATTATACTCAAGAGATTTTTATCATCCTTGACAAACTGACAATACAAATTAGAAATTCTGTACAGAATTTACTGATTCAGAACGTTTTTGTAATTTATGATTCACATCCTGGTAACAGCTCGAGAAGTGTAATAAACCGTCATTAGATTTATAGGAAACTGAAAGCCTTGGAGTCATATAAAGGACCTAGTTACCTAAACCATCCTTCATATGGATTTCCATCACGCAGATGACTGACCATCAGACTATGTGGCCCCAAAACTCGGGCACTGTACCGAGACTGCAGGAACCCTAACCTATAATCATTTGCTTGGACGATTCTGTGAATTTCATTAATTAAATGGTGATACTTGGTATTAGTTCCATCAAGAATATGTGGCTGCCGATTCAAAACTTGTGTGCGGATAACACCAAGGTTGTACCTAGGTACAGTAAACTAGGTCCTTTGTTATGAGCTGTGGTTATACAGATAATCGGATGTAAATATACTAGAGAGTATCAGCCTTAATAATCCAGATAATCCTTGGTTGTAATAATAATATACAGCATTTGATTTAAGCGCCCTATCAAGCTAACATAAGCCACTCTAAAGCGCTTTACAGTACATAGGTATACAATTAATACAATTAACATATCCATTAATCAATACCATTTTTTTGAGGAATTCACAGGAGCTGCCTTATCAGGCGCTAACTACTAGTCCTATGCCACCTGGCTAATATCTCCCTAGGTGTGTATGCCTGTGTGTGTGCTGGAAATGTAATTTGTTCTGTTTGTAGTGGGACCTTGCTTCCAACGGCATCATTTATAGTGCCACCTCACTTGAATGCTACAGCACAGATACCGCAACATCCTCTCCAGACCAATTTATACTCCACTTGGGTTGTTGGAGTTGGGTGGGCAAGAGAAAAACACTTTTTCTGAATATCCACTTCGGAGATCTAACCCTGGCCACCTGTGTGGAAGGCCAGAGTGTTAACCACTCGACCAATCCGCCCATTTTATACAGTAAACTAGGTTATTATCCGCTGTGGTTATACAGATAATCTGATGTATATATACTAGGAATTATCAGCTGTATAATTGTCCAGATAACCCTTAGTTGTATAGTAAACTAGGTTATTATCAGCTGTGGTTATATCTGATGTATATATACTAGGGGTTATAACCCTTAGTTGTACAGTAAACTAGGTTATTATCAGCTGTGGATATATCTGATGTATATATACTAGGGGTTATAACCCTTAGTTGTACAGTAAACTGGGGTATTATCAGCTGTGGATATATCTGATGTATATTGCTAGGGGTTATAACCCTTAGTTGTACAGTAAACAAGTTATTATCATCTGTGGATATATCTGATGTATATATACTAGGGGTTATAACCCTTAGTTGTACAGTAAACTGGGTTATTATCAGCTGTGGTTTTATCTGATATATATTGCTAGGGGTTATAACCCTTAGTTGTACAGTAAACAAGTTATTATCAGCTGTGGATATATCTGATGTATATATACTAGGGATTTATCAGCCGTATTATTGTCCAGATAACCCTTAGTTGTACAGTAAACTAGGTTCAGGTTTGATATCCTTTTAGATTGTTTTCCATGTATCCAGTACAAGGTCTAATTGTCTATGAAGACACATTTTTTTCCCCTTTACAACAGTCTTTCTATTTAAGAGTATGACGAATATAAGCGGTTTTTATATACTCATGCTGAAAAAAGTACCATAAATATGATAATCAATTTTTCTGTTATATCAAACAGTTTGTCTGCTCAAGAAACTGTATTATGTTGGAATAACCTAATTATATGATGTGGTTGTAAAATTTTATTTTTTTCTTTTACCAATATGAATACTAATAAATACACAGAATTGTGTAATTTTGTCTGATAAATATCAAAATTCCTCTGTTGTTGTTTCAGAGTTATGTACCAGATCCGTTCAAGTTACGAGAATTTGTTACATCCACTCCCCCTGGGAACGAGCGCCTGTTCTGTACGATGGTGCGTCACGGTGAAGAGACATCTGGTGGCCATTATACTCTGTACCTAGAGTACCTTGGCGGTCTTATTCCGCTCCTGAAAGGCAAGCGTGCCAGTAAACTCAGGCCAGACTTCGTTATTTTTGATCCAAAAATTAAACCGAAGACTAATCCCGAGGGTAAGAATTTCATGATTTCACTGTGTTGCTTTTAGAGGTGTCTGTTGTCATTTCCGGGACTGTAATTGTCATCAATGTCACACAGGCGAGTTCATTAAGATACTGTGATGATCAGTGGTGTCAGGTCAGCTAGATGCTTGGTCTACTTTCTTCAGGTCTAGCTAAAATTTAATGTAATTTAAAGTAAGGTCAGGAAATAAGGCGAAAATAAAACTAGGGGCATTAAAAGACCAAAATATTGCTGCAAGATGGTGTCAGATCAGCTACAGGTTGAGAAGGTTTTGGCCCAATTTAATGTAATTTAAAGTAAGGTCAGAAAATAAGGTCAAGTTATAACTAAGTTAATAAAAAGACCATAAGATCACTGCAAGATGGTGTCAAGTCCGCTACAGGTTGGGAAGGTATTGGTAAAAAATGGCATGAAGGTAAAGGTCAGAAAATTAGGTTAGATTACTGATTTAATGTAGAGCATGGAAGATAGTGTCAAAACAGCTACAGGCTGGGTCTACACTTTTAATGCCTAGAGAGAATATAATGGCGTGACAAATAGGTCAGAAAATTAAAAACTTCGGACTAAGACCAAAAGATCACAGCAAGGTGTTGTAATGTCAACTACAGGCTAGATCTATATTATAAGGCTCACAAGGCCCTATCAGAACGTAGTGGCATAAAATATGAGGTAAAAATATTAGATCAAGTTGGGCAAGGATCAGAATATCACAGCAAGGCAGATTGTATGTTTGAATCACTTATTGCAAAAAATCTACATTTTGTATTTTCATGAGAAATGTTGTTTGTTGTTTAGCTTTTCTGACTAACAATTCTTACAAAATATTCTACTGTAATAGAAATAGGATACGTAATTGAAGAATAAGAAATGTTCCATGAAAAAAACAAAAAAAACAAATATTTAGTCTACCTAGCACCATACCAGTGGTAAAGTAGGAGTTCTAATCCATTTATACAGAAATGTCACTGTGGGTTGCCTGACGATGGAGTTGGTCTAAGGACCGACTAATCCTGAGAGTCCCACACCTAAGAAGCTCACAGCCACGTAAGAAGTAACGAGCTTGTGTCTGACGGAAGACGTACTGGGTTGTTACTTACGTGGGTCATGCACCATATTCTTGTTAATGAACCAGTTCTATTTTTAAACTTTCCAAAGCATCAATGGGATTTTCATGGATGGGTGGTTACATACATTTAACTTGACCAATGTTTGAACCAACAATACTTACATTAAAACTAGTAGGTTAGATCAATAAATAGGCAGAACCATATAAGATGTTATTGGTACATATGAATCAGATACTGCTTCAAAACACCAAAGTCTTCTTGGCCTATATTTTATATTAGTGAGAGTTTCTTACAAATTTGTTGGTGAAGGAAAGTGAGTCTGTTCTTCAGTTTCTGTCTCTATCCTTACGTTTTCGCTATACTTACTTCCCTGTTAGCTTGTCATTTCCCCTATCCATGATTATTCAGTCAGTCAATTTTCTCTTCGTAGCTCGCCATTTCTCCTATTCATGACTCCGTTTCCCCCATCATATTCTATTTTGTCTGACTCACTAATTCCATCTCTCAGGCTCTATCCTCCTGTTGTGCACATCCTTGCTTTCCCTCACTTTCTATCTCTGTTCCTTTCAATCTAAGTGTCCCTATGAATTCCCCTCTAATTTTCTGTCACTTTCGGCTTTCTGTGTCCTCTGTCATTATATACTTCGGTTGCTTAAGAGTGGTTGGGTTGCACAGTGGAAAGCGCACTACACTTACCAAGACAGCCGTGGTTTGATTCCCTGATTGGCTTGAAAAGGTATATGGGGTCACCTACCCGACTATGTAGGTTTTCTGCAGGTACTCCAGTTTCCTCCCACATTAAGACCTCCTGAGTGCTAAAATATAAGTTGTTTCATAATTGTTGTAAAACAAATAAATAAAGTTTATAAGTTTAAACTATCTTTGCCCTTTCTCTCTCTCCCTACTTCTCAATCCTGTTCCATCTCATTCACTTGTTTCACTTGTATCTGCATGCCTCTATTTAAAACTATTTTCATATTACCTTCCACATATTCCTGTCTGTGAACCTTACTCCTTGACATTAGAACCTCTTTCTCTGATTTGTCCATTATGAATTCTGCCTTTCCGTCACTCCCTCTCTCTCATACAATCTATCTTCTCCTGTCAATGGAGTGTTGGCTAGGTGTGTTGTGTGTACCTAACCAATGATAAAAGGATAATTACTTTTACAGATCTAAACTTATATGACTACTGTGACGATATAGATCTGTCATTTGCCTGTGGCTATTAATATGGACGTGTGACGATGTATAAGAAAAAAATATCACAGCCAATGCATCGGCCAAGGTTAGAAACACGGTCAAATTCACAACAGGGTTTAAAACAGTGTCGCAGAATGTCGATTCTCTGAGTAATTGGCGCGCCACTCCTGGTGACACAACAGTTTTATGCAATGTCAAATGTCTTCAAGTTTTTATTTCCCAGGAAAACCAATTATGTTCTATGGCTTAAAGTCAATTGACCCAGTTCTTGATCAAATATGTTTTAATACCGAAGTGAGTAGTGGTTGTTTTCATCAATTTGGGGAGTTTTGTCCTTTATTATCTATTCTTCACTTAAATGCATACAGTACATTTTCGCTACAGCAAAATATAAAAAAAATATAAATTATTTTGTTAAACCTGAAATTGCAAGTTGAGTACCATCAACAGTTTAAAAAAAATCCACAATGAAAACATCTCTAAGGCCAACTGGAAAGACGTTTCTAGTCATGTTTTTCATTTATTGCCCAGTCATCAAACCTGGTAGTAAGTAAGTACATTGCTTCAAGCTGGGACTAACCCAGGGATTATAGACATATTTTTATAAAAAATAGGTAATGGTTCTTAACTTTTCATCAGCATTGACAACAGACTGTGACTGCTGCATACTGGTTACACAGAATCCATTTGCAATTTACTGTGGGGAGTTAAAGAAAAATCCATCTTTATATTGAATTGAAACTTAATTAGCACTTGTCAGTGGAAGTTTAGGTGCTCTTGGTTGGTATGCAAATTGTTAAAAAATATTGACAACATTGTGTGAGCTGTGAACTTACATTTCCTTGTCAATTTGCAGAAATACCAGTTTGATTAATAGAATGGTAAAAAAAAGAAGATGGACATAACAAAACATTTTCAGCCAAAATTAATTGTGCTGTCTTAAGCATTGAACTGTTTTTGTATGGTATTTATGATCTATTTGAATGACACAGCTTTGCAAGCAAACAACATAATGCGCGCTAGCGCATTATGAGTTGTTTGCTTGCAAAGTTGTGTCATTCAAATAGATCATAAATATCATACAAAAACAGTTCAATACTTAGATTTACGTTTTCTCTGCCTCTTATGTTCAATTTTAACTTATAATTTATATTTAAAATATAAAATGCCCGCCTTATCGACAGTCCACACAATTTCNGATTTACGTTTTCTCTGCCTCTTATGTTCAATTTTAACTTACAATTTAAATTTAAAATATAAAATGCCCGCCTTATCGACAGTCCACACAATTTCATTCAATAGTTCGTGTTTGTCGCATGCTAATTGGCAAACAAAGTAGTACTTTGAAATTTTAACAAACACTTCAATGTTATTCCACAATTCAGTATCAATACAATTGCGTATGATATGTCTATAGGGTGATTAAGTTTATCAATAGAACTCTGAGCTGAAAGTTAGACTTGAAATTGTTTCGATTTTTCCCCAGAACAAATTTAGTGCATGGATAAATACAGTGAACACCGTAAATCCGACCTTCCCCACCACGAGGGAGTTATTTTTGAAAGTTAATTCCAACTTTTCTCTTTGCTCATTTTGTGAAGAATCCAGGCGTGAATTTATTTGTTGATTGTATGGGAATCTGACTACAGTCTGTAGATTCTATAACAGCCTCGTTATTTGACATGTCGTCAGAAACTGAGGAAACAGTGGCTGCGAGACGCGTGAAACTGATAGCGTTTGAAGTGAGTGATCTTGTGACGGAGCACAGGGGTTCATTACAAACGTCTAAAATGTTTATGTGTGCTGTGACTCATATCAGTAGGTCTGTAACATATGTGTCAGTAGGTCTAAAAAACATGTGTATTTCAGACATTTGTAACAAACCCCTGTTGATCAGTGCAGTGTAACAGACGATGTTTTTGATATAAAATTGCATGAGCGTTAAAATTGTTTCTATTGCCGGCATTAGTGATTTCAACCGATGTGCATTTTGTACATATTGCAGACCTTGGTCTTGTTTTTGTTGTAATAAAAGTATTTTTTATTTTATTTTTTTATTTTGCACATAAATTTATAATGACATTGTCAAATCTCACAATGCCTAGCGATATTTCAGCAGCCGTCATGTTTATTTACATTGGATATTGTAGTTCCGGTCAGTGTTGTATTAATACGCTAAGAATTATGTCTCGTGCTGCATGGTAATTAAAGTCCCATCAACGACACAGCTTTCAAAGAGGCTATATAGTGACATTGCCATGCAAATGTAAATATATTGGATTGTTGGACAATGAACTTGGTTAACGTACTTAACTCCCTTGCCGATGGCTGGGTTCAATAACCGGTAAAAGTGTGGTTCTTCAAGGGTGTATTTAACTTATTCACCCCTGAAATTTCATAATGAACTATTCCAACCTTTGAATTGGGGGAGTTCAAATGTGTCTTCAGGGGTAAATGAGTTAACGTCTACTGCCAGTTGCCAAGTTCCACAAGGCATGCCTTTGTTTGTGTGTTCATTTACTTCCACTCATTACTGCAGGCCTTCAAGCAAAAGTCAAGATTTTGGATGTTCTGTGTCTCCAACTTCAGTGTGTAATCTCAATATAATTGAGGTATTTACGTCAACTGGAACAAGTGTATCTATAGATCTACTGCAGTTCAGACGAGAAGAATCTAGTCTTTAGTGCATTAGAACTTTACTTGTGGTCGTAAATGGGCTGT